TTCTAACATCAGATTTGCGAATAACGAAGCATTGTTACTTTGATATGAAACCTGAGAAGGTTTCATAGTTTAGTTTAGTTTAGTTTAGTTTTATATTTAAAATGTAAATCTTATAATAAAAGATGAAAAGTATTTAGGATAAACGTGAAGTGCTCACTCAAGCACGCAACAAGTAAATAATTATGAAAACTGAAGCCAGCTGAAGGCAACTTATTTGTTGAGATTTATCAACTTTTATGTGATATATGTATATACAAGAAATAATAAATAATAATTTTAGTATTTGTATATTTTGATAATTCTTTCTAAGGTTTGCAGTTTTTCTTACCTCCCTATATATCATATGCGCAATATGCGTACATAAATATATATTTATATATATATATACGCAATTGTACCTTAATTTATTTATACATACACATATACGTATACTTTTCATAGGGAAAGTAAAATTGTTCCAGCTAACTCCAGCTAATGCAAACACACATGTGTGGCTACGTTTTGGTATACAAATTACAAAATTATACAAATCAACGCCACACAATTGCTTCAATTTAGCCAAGGCCCGCAACCTGGCCCAAACCTCCGACATCCGAGCCGCGCCTGGCAGCTGCTTACAGTACTTTAAGTGTCCCAGTATTAGCACAAAGGATAATGCTGCTGCTGTTGCTGGCACTGCTGCTCCTGATGATTACGATGTGGCTGGCAGAGATTAGAGACGCACCAGACGCGCAATCAAAGACAAAGCGTTCTCGACACCTGCAAAAATTATGAAGCTCAATTGCAGACAGGCATCCGCGATATAACGCTGCCGCATAACCTAAGGGGGTTGCTCGATGGGTGGCAAAAGTAAAGGGCTTGGCAGTAGCGGCAGCGTGGCAATTAAGTCATTACCTCAAATAACTGGAGGCGTGGATCACCATCGTCTACTATAGGTGTTTTACAAGTGTGCAAACAAAGTGCCTCAGTGGTTGCATAAAGCCAGTATCGTATATGTGTGTGCATGAGAGTGTGTGTACATGTCTGTGTGTGTGTGTGTGTGTGTGTGTGTATATTTGTTGGCCTGCCTCTCTCTTTGAGATGCAATAAAGGCATGCAAATTTATGTACAACGTCTGTGTGTTTGTGCTTGACAGTCACCCCGGCTCCGACCCCAAGCAGCTTCCATGTTTTTGATAAGCAATTTTCGTCACTCTTTGTGGTTGTTTTCCTGTGTGCTACGGTGTGAGTGAGTGTGTGCGTGTGTCTGTAATAAAATTAACAAATAATTCCTCTCATGGGCTGATTCCATGTTGTTGGCGTCACTTTGATGGTAATTTGAATGGGCCAAATGGCATTTAAAGCGATTACAACACACTCTTATCAGTTCGTCCAGCCAGGGCAGATGAAAGGCAATGTATCACTTCAGAATTTGTAGTCTCTAATTTTATATTACTCCAAACAACATATTTGTTGGAAAGGCAAAAAAAGACAAGTGTGCTTTAGGCCGAAGTGCCCGACTAGGAGATACCTCGAACCCAGCGTCGAGCTGACGTAAAATATATTCAGGGCTTATTTTCCGACCTTTATGAAAACTTCAAGGCATAAACAGTACATTTAATTGTGTATATTTACCGTAGTCCAATGAATATTTAGCATCGGATTAGGATTTCCTCATTAAGCAATTTGGTTGTGTCGCTTCCAGCGTATTTGATGTACATAAAGAATTTAGGGTCCACTATAAGCTTCGAGATATGCCTAAAAATGCCAGATTTCGATATTGAATCTTATCGATGTCACGCAAACGAGGCCAGATATCGATTTATCTCTCTAGCTCTTGTAGTCTCTGTGATTCTTTCACATATTCAGACAGACAGACGGATAAGCAGGCAGACGGGCATGGCTTAACTGTCTCTTAATCTTTATTCAATCAACAAAATTCTCAAGAATCTTCATTGTCTAATTATTTTTAGTGGATATAGTTAAAACCAGACAAGAACTATATTACCGACTTCTGCCGCCCGTACACATATACATTAGGTCAAATTTTCCGGCCTATAATTTTCGATTCATGATGTTATCAATTTACATATCATTAGCTCACTTTATATGTAATGCGAACACTTTTATTAAGTATATCGTAATTATTTGTAGAGTTAACCCATCTTGCCAATCTTTTTATATTATATTTACCATTGGCTATCATAGCTAGTAATAGAACTGAATGAATAAGTATTGAATTGAATTCAAAAAGAAACAGAGGTATACTCATTTTTAAAACACAAGATAGTAAGTTAACTAATTGTAAATTTAATATGTGCCGAGTCCTTGTCACCGTGGACCGCCGCAGTCATGTGGCATGTGCCGGGCGAATTAGACGTCGTGGCTCGAGCAAAAGGAGTTTAATGTCCTTGAGAAAAGGAAGCATCCTCGGAAGCTACAAAAGCTAGAGAATTTCAAAATTGTAAATACATATTCTTGTACATATATATAGTTTTATGATATCTCCTGCTAATTCGATAACATGAAAAAATGTCGAAGCTCGAAAATTATAACACTTAGATATACCAAATTTGGCATGCAACTTTTCGTATAGTATGCATAGATATGGAAAGTATATACATATTAAATTATTTAAAAATTGTCAATTTCAAAGCGAAAGCTTTGCAATTTGAAATAGAACCAATTTGCCATATTAAAGTCCTAAAAATTTAATGAGAATTGGAGCATAAGCAGCGAAGTTATTAATTAAAACGAACTTGTGATAAGTTACGCTGGCTCATTTAAAGTCCATACAATAATCATATCATTTTAATTAGCCAATTAGTTATTGATTTTTAATCCCTCAGTCAAGGCGCGAACACTTTGCAATGACCCCTCAGTCATGGGTTATGTGTCAATTAAGCTACACGACTCTGCGCTTCGCTTGATGCAGTTCCTAATGCGCTTAGCATTAATTGTGCCACCACGGCAACATCTCCATCTAAAGTTGCTTTACAATGGAATTGCGTTCGTATATCTAGCTCTAGTATTTCGCTGGCGTTTTGCGTTTAATTACAAAGTGAGCTACGATCGTCTGCATGATCATTATTCACGCATCATCGATTTAATAGACTTTGTGGCCTTAATTGTTTGCCATTGTATTGTATCTACGGAGTTGCTCTGGAGGAATCGCAGCGATCAGATTGAGAAGCAGTTTCTACAAATGCAAAACGTCCTTAGCGAGACAATTGGTCGCAAAGTCAATCTCCATCGGGTTCGGTTTAACAGCAATCTTATTTTAAGCTTTTTGTTTCTGCGTGTATCGGTGATCTTCGGCATGACAATTTACAACAATTTAGCTTCGAGCACCTCGGTCCTGCTCATTGGTAACTTCTACTCGGAAGTCGTGCTTATTCTGCGATGCAGCGAATTTACATTACATTCAGCATTCGTCTTGGCCATCTACCAGGAGTTGATTGATGCTGCCACGAGTGTAATTTCGGAGCTGGAGAGTATACATTTTAAGATTTGGTCTCAACGCCGTGTGCCCCTCAAACGCATCGCCACTTTACAACAGTTGCATCTACTACTCTGGAAAACTCAACGCGACATCGAGCGCAACTTTGAACGAAGTCTCGTCATGGTGCTGCTGAAATATTTTATAGATATTTCAGTTCTTCCATACTGGGCGTATCTGAACAGAATATATGTAGACAATTTTCCAATGCAGATGTGTAGGTAAATACATATCTAATGTGTCTCGTCAGCTCTTATAAGTATATACATATTTCTGTTCTAGGGTGTACAACTGAGGAAAGCGGAAAACTTTTAGAGATCTGTATTCCCTGTTGGATTTGTACGCGTTGCGATCATCTGCAGCGCAAGTTTCGATCTCTTTTTCATGGAATATCAGTGGATCGTCGCAATGAGCAGCTAAATACCGCCTTGCTAAGAATCTCTGCTCAACTTGGACAAGAAACCTGTCAGCTAAGAGTTGGCGGTTTGGTTAAGATCAACAATGAAATGTTAGGCAAGGTAATAGCTACACATGTAATTGAAACATATTTGGTATTTATAAAAGTTATGCTTTTTTCAGTTCCTATTCGGCGTGGTGAGCTATATTTTTATTTGCGTACAGTTTCGGATTACATACAATTTAAAGGTCTTAGAGGGAGAAAGTGAAGTGACCGTTGCTTTGAGTCTACTAAATCAAAATCAAACAATCTGACTGCAACTATTGACAAATACAAACACTTAATTTTATAACTTTGTTTCATTTATAACTTGATGCAAAATTGTAGGTGCTTGAGAAATGTCGGTTAACAGATTTATACTCAACGGAATGAAATTGTCAACTTGAATTATAGTCCATATAATTCGTGAGCCGCAAATCTGTCAAAAGTATTTTCAGTAACATTTTTGGGAAGCTCGATCGGATGGCGTAACAAAAAGTTTCATTCACCTGACCAACATCAAAGTTGTAAATTTTACAATGGCCCCCTGTGATGTGGGAGCACACAATGATGGGATTTTGGGATACTCCACCCACAAATTCTGCTAAAATAACACGGTTGTATGAAAGTTTTTTTTGTTTACCATCCGATCGCTCTGGTTGTAATCCACCTGCAAATACAATAAAATAATAAATAAATAAACACAAATAAATAAGAAGAGAACATCTCTAGTTGAGAATATCTTCAAGAAACGCATAATTGGTCTGTAGTTTGGCTTCCACGAAACAGGTTGAAGAGCTGTATTGGACACCAAACTAGATAACAGGTAGACTTCCATACAACCGACTTCACAGGGGCATCTACTTCCATCGATATTAATATCTATCTAATTTAATTTGTTAATTAATTTTGAGGGGTACGTTTTATCGAACAAATGATTCACCAAACTAAGTGAAGGATACTTTAAAGTGCAGCGCCGCATCGAAGGCGATTGCCCGTCTACCGATAAAGCGCTTGTCTTTTCAATTAGCCAATTAGCCATTGATTGCGATACTATGTACCTGAATAGATGCGAGCTACTTCAGTCATGTGGCATGCACCTGGAAAATTACACGAAGCTTCTCTGCGCTGCATGAGCCGCTTAATGCAATGCATATTGCTGGTGCCGCCACGCCCTCATGTGCTGCTAAAGCTGCTCTACTCAATTGGTTTGTTAATTTATCTGGCCTTTGTCTTGCGTTGGCGATTTAGCTTCAACTACGGAGTTGTTTACGATCGAAATGATAAGTTCTCACGTGTCGTCGACCTATTGAACTTTGTGACATTGACCATCGCACACTGGATAGTCGCAATGGAATTGATCTGGAGAAATCGCAGCGACGAGATTGAGCAGCAGCTGGAACGAATGCGGTACATTCTGAGAGTCCAGTTCGGGCATAAGGTAAACCTGGTCCGCTTGTGTCGCTATTGCAATACCATCTACTGTCTATTGCTAATCTGCTGTCTGACCCTATTTCTGCTGACTATATACAATCACGTGGTCACGGATACGGCGCTGTTGCTTTTCTACGCAATTTACTCGGAGATGGCGCTGCTAATGCGGCTCAGCAATTTTACGTTGTATGCGGCACTGATATTGGTCTTCTATGTGGAGCTGCGTGAGGTCAGTTTCAGGCTAATCTTGGAGCTGGATAAGACACGCTTTGAAGTGGGGTCTCTGCGGCGTTTATCGCTGGAGCGTTTGGCCATGGTGCAACATCTGCACGGGCTGCTGTGGAAAACAGTGCGCTCCATTGAACGAAACTTTGAGCTGAGCTTGGTGATTGTGATGCTAAAGTACTTTGTGGATACCTCCGTGTTGCCCTATTGGATACTTGTCAATAGGCACAACCATATAAATATTTCCACTACATACTGTGGGTAGCATTTGCTGTTGATATGTTGATTTCCTGATCTTGATTCATTTTTGCTTGCAGACTGCGCAACTGAGGAACTTTGCAAGCTTATGGGCATTTTTGTTGCCAGCCTCATCTGTACTCGATGCGCACTGCTGCAGCGTCAGCTTCGATCCATATTCCATGGCTTGGCCACAGATCGTCAAAATGCGCAGCTAAATGCTGCTTTATACCGTATGTCCGGGCAGCTGGGTCAGGAGAGATTTGAATTTAGTGCGGGTGGCTTGATGGTTATCAATAATGAGACACTGGGAAAGGTGAGAGAATCGATATACCTAAATCATTTAAGAGAGTTCATGGTATTTACGTTTTTGTTGCAGTTTATTTTTGGCATGGTTACCTATATAATAATTTGTTTACAATTTCGCTTGACTATGATAGGCAAAAGCCCTACGGAAGCCGTTGAGAATTTCGTAACTGATGCGCAGCTCCCATAAGCCAAATTCCATTGAATTGCGCATTCCTTTCGGATGGTTACTACGCATTTTCTAAGAAAATCGCTAATAAATTACTTGAAAGCCGCCCGAGAAACATAATTAATGAAAGTGGTATTTCAATAGAAGGTATTAGAATCAGCTATAAGGGATTTGGTTTGCTGCGAGCTGGTCATCGATAGGCACAGCCTTGCTGGCTCAAACCCATCCGCCATACGCTTATTAAATCAAAATCAATCAAGTTAATTAGTCAATTTCGAAAAATTTAATGCCAGCTCGTGTATAGTTGGAATATGAACATGTGCATTTGTAACAACGAGTTCAGGCCCATCATCAGCTGGACAGAGTCTCGTGTACCTAATTATTCATGTTAACAAATTCCATTATAAACTTTAGCAAAGCTTGGCATTTTTAGCGTCCGATAGTCACGCATGGCTGGCCATCATAGAGTATGTTCTGGCCTGCCCATCCCGCAGCCACAACAATGAGAGCCGGCTTTATGCCGCACGAGCTCACTTGGGCCGGCCTTGGCTAATTTGATGTTGATGTTGCAACGAGCTGTGGCCAATGCGGCAAATTATAAATCTCGTGGGTAGTTCATTTACCAGAAATAGTTTTCACTAAATTCATAGTTTAATTATCCTTAAAGTTTTCACTTAGTTATCAACTTTTCAATTGTGTCTTAGGGTCGGACGGCGTCAATTATGGATACTTTGCCTGTCTATGGAACATGATAAGACTCTTGGCCACTTGATTGCTCGGAATGCTGAATGAATCTGAATCTGAAATTCTGACACATTTCTAATAAGCCAATTTTCCGAGCAAAAAACTTGGATTACTGGCCTTAATATTTCATTTCGTTGACACTGCATTTGTCAACATTCGTGCGCAGACTTGCAGCATCGATGCCACTGACAGCGACCTGTCTCCAAGTGCCTGAAAAACGTCAGCTTATTATAATTGTAGTTGTAGTTAAAAATTACAAAATTTTGCGGATACGTAATTAATACAAAAGTATTAAAGCCACGCAACAGTTGCACGAACCAGGCAGGTCGCAGTGCTTACATTCGTAGCCGATTTCAGGAGCATTTTCATGTCACAACACTTTAGCTCAATGGCAAATAATAAAAAGCAAGCCATAATCGTCTCGTAAAAATCAGACGCGCACGCACACTAATGCAATGGCCCCCTCTGGCGCTCCCTCTCTCCCTATCTCCCACGCTCTCTCTATGAATGGGGCAGCGCTGTGCGTGCTTTGACATAGACAATGGCGTCTATGGACTATGGGCTATGGCTGTTGGCAGTGACAGCGATGGCTGACGTCGCGACGTCAAGGCTTTAACAGTTAGTCACACACGCAAGCACACACATACTGAATCGCACACTCACACACTCGCACATTCACAATCACTTTTATAGCGACACGTAGTCAAGCACGCTCAGAAGTGCAGGAATCTTGCGTCTTTCTCCTTCTCTATCTATCTCTATCTGTGCATGTGTGTGTGTGTGTAGTTATTACTTTTATGAAGCATGTGATTACATTTTATTTTTAATGCTTTTAGTAAAATGAGGTTAGTACACACTTGGTTAGCGACAAATTACATTTTTTGCCTGCCTGCCTGCCCACCCGCACATCCGCCTGCTCTCGTATATGCGTATATGCTGAGTGTGGCTGCGACTTTAGCAGTTTATTGAATTTTGGTATTTACATTTAAAAGGATGGCTACCAGTTTGCCCTGCATTGCAAATAAAGGCGTTGCAGTTGGTAATGCTAGACTGCGCAATGTTCTGTTCCATACAATTTAGGAACCAATCAATATTATAGGACGGAGGAATTGAAATATGGCTTGATCTGAAAATTAGGCATTCAAAATTCAATTGAACCAATTTTGAAGCATGGCCAAAAATACTATTGACACGGACATAATATTTAGACAGGCATGCGAACAATACACAATACCAATATCTATGTTTTTGGCCCTTTGCAAAATGTGTTTAAAAATATGGCAACTGTTTTTCCCTCTCATTCTCGCCCTTAATTGTTGTTGCCATTAGGCAAAATGCTTAAACAGCCGTTGACTGCATGAAACATGCGCACAATTAACTTCCGCTTCCGGCATTGATTGAAACCAGCGAGAGCTGAATCAACTTGCCATGTTGCACACACAATATAGACACATACACTCACACACACACACACACACAACCAGACGCACACCCACACACACACAGGCAAGCACACAAAGCATGCACATGTTGTAGTTAACTGTTTGCATATTAATGACAAATAACCCGCCATCCATGCCCTCCACTTGCCCCACGTATTAAGCGCATTTGATGTGTGCGCACACACACTGAATGAACGATAAATGCTAGATAACATTGAGATGGCTTTTCAATGGTGAGTAGCGTGTGGCGGGAGCCAGCTCGACTGTCCCTAGCTAACTGAACTAATTTGCGGCAAACAATAGCAGCAACAGCAACAACAATACCTTTGATTCTCTGTTTCCATCGGAGATTCTCGAGAATTGGCGGTTTTATGTAACTGACAAGTGAGAGGATATGCAATTTTAGATCTTACGGCTTGCATTGCGCTAGGTATGTTTTTGATCTGGGAATGTTTTGAGTAAAGTTCTCGAAATAAGCAAGTATCCTTAAGACTTCCGAAATAATCTATGTTGATGATAAGCAGAAGATTGAAGTCTGTTTTGCACAAAATTAATTAGGTTTAGTAATCGTATCTATATAAAGCTTATTAACTGAATTTTATATTTTAAAATACCATTCATTAACAGACATAGTAAACATAAGAGATATGTGATAAGATATCCAACCTTTCCTTATTACTGTGACAAACATTATTTTTCGCTTACCTGATTGGGTCATTCTTTCATTTGACACGCCTAAAACATCGGTTCGACATCTGACATTTGAATGTAGATCTAAACTCCATTAACTAATTTGTAATGAAATATATTGAACTATAGACGGGTTGTCTTCATGCCTAATAAAGAAATTGCTGATAATAATATATCTGTTAAATACACTCGATTTTTTACACTAGATGCAATTTTTTTGCACACTTGGTATAAAAAGCCTTTTATAAAGAAATCACATTGCAGATAAAATAGCATCATTAAGTGCTAAGGGAATCCCCGGCATATTTGCGATTTCAAGTAGAATAAAAGCTGTTCTTTCAGCATAGTTATAGATGCGTTGGATTGAATCGGATTCAGTGAAATTTGTGTGGATTTGTATGGTTTTGGGTATATCGTGAACAAAGTGTAATGAATAGCATAAGGAATTGGGTCAGATGGGAGTTGAGCCCACTCTTATTTTCATTTGGTGTGTAAGGAGAACAATTGTCTTGGCATGTTTATAGATTTATGCTCAATAAGAGGCACATGAAACCCACTTTCGTAGTTCCTGTAGTTGTTGTTATACTTGTACTTGACTGCTCTTGTTTATATGTCCACAGCAGAGCCAGAAACTCAGTCAGCATTTCCAGGATTTTATTTGTGCGCCTTTTGCTGCCTGCGCTCCCAACGCTTCTAACGCACCCAACCAAACAGCCAACTCTCAATACACAGCAGTCAACAAACAACTACAGCTACTTTGGTCGACTGCCAGCAGTAGGAATGTGTGCAAATAATAAAAATGTTGGGCAATATTTCAGTTTTGTGCTTTACGGCCGGAGATGTCTTAGCTGTGCCGGGCTGCCGCCGGCTTAGCTACCCTTCCGGTTTATATCATAAATTATAAATAAATGGTCGAGCAGAGCCCAAAGTCCGGGCAGCACCTGATTTGTTTATTTGTGAACCATTTTTCACATTTACGACAGTTGACAACGCACATTTGGCCAACCTCTTGTTGCTGCCACGTGAAATGCTGTAAGGACAGTTTTTAATTCGACAATATTGGCCAACTGATGAGTCCATTGCCCAAACAAGTTCTGCAATTGACTGACTTTCAATTTGGCAAAATGTTATGCTGCAGGCTAAACATATTCACTTAACTGACAAACCCACCTGCCCAACTGTAATGCATGTTTGTCAAGCCCATGCCAAACCGCACCAGATTCTATAACAACGACAGCAAGAGCGACAGCCACTTTTAGTTGCCGTCTAAATATTTGCCAAGGTTCAGCTGAAATGTCCTTAAAAATGCCTACACGTTGCACGTACTTAATTATTTGACAAGTAATTGTGTGCACAGCAAGCAAGCCAAGCATGTTGCATGCCGCATGGCCATAGCATTCACATTCGCATGCACGCTTCACACAGGCAACATGTTGCTGCAACATGCCAATCGCTTCTACTAAATAGTACAAATGACTCGACTTGTATTCCATTTCTTTCTTAGACAAAAAGAATTTCTTTTTAGATACTAGCGGGTATGCCTGAGTCGCAGTTTTCACTTGTCTTCAATATAAATTGGCCAGCAATGGCAGTATATGTAGTCTTTGGCAGCAGCTCGCTACAGATTATAACCGTCTTTTTATTTTTGTATTTCGCTAACTATATGTTTGAATTTTTTGCTTGTAGTCCTTGGTAGATGAGTTGCTTGAGCGACAATACTTAGACTATTGAAAACAATGATCTAAGTCCAAGTTTAAAACTGGATAGATAATTTATAATAAGAAGTAGTTGGGACTAGCAGACCCCGACGAAAAACTGCTGTATCAAACATTGAAACTTTTTATAACAAAACCGAAGTTTTGGTACATGCTCAAATATAAAATGAATTGGTTTGTTTCAAAACCGGCTGGCAGGCTTGTTTCCTATGCAAATACAACACATTTAGACAAGGGCTTATAAAAATTAAAGTTGAAATGGTTGAAAAGCCATTCATAACACATATATATATACATAGCCGAAATGCATTTTAAGCAATAGAAGAAGAGGACTTAAAGCTCTACAACATGCTATAAATACTAGAGTCTTGTTAACTGTATTTTTAGTACCTTCAAACTTTCCGCAGCATGTCCACGCCCATTAGAGTGC